AAATTGGGTTAAAAGTTAACAAGGCAGTACTCTATTTCTTTTTCTTTTCCTTTTTTTTTTAATGCCCAAACCAAAACCAAATCCACTGCCATCCAGTCGATTCCGACCCATAGTGGACCCCCCACCCACCCAATAGGGTTTCTCCAAGGCTGTAAATCTTCATGGAAGTAGACTGCCTCATCTTTCTCCCGTAGAACAGCACGTGGGTTCAAACTGCCAATCTTTTGGTTAGCAGCCCAATGCCTTCACCACAATGCCACCAGAGCTCCTTTATTTAAATGCCAGTATATTTTAATTTTTTATAGGTAAACTTGATTGGGGTTTGCTATAAAAAAATTTTGGATAAGTGAGTTTTGGTTGCATTAATGCTTGAAATGAAAAATAAAGGTTTTCGGGCACAACAAATCTTGCTTTTCATTTTGCTTAATAAGAAACATTTTGGCTAATGTTCTTGGGTACTGGTTTTCAGATTTTAATTTATTTTGCTGTATGTGTTCTTGGGGAGCTCTGGTAGCATAGTGGCTAAGGCACTTGACTGCTAACCAGAAGGCTAGTGGTTCGAACCCACCAGCCACTCCTCAGAAGGAAGATGGGGCAATCTACTTCCATAATGGAACTGCCTCAGAAAGAAACCCAAGGAGGGGTCGCTATGAGTCAGGTCCAACCCGACGGCACATAACAACAACAACAACAACAACATGTGTTCTTGAGCTTTTTTTCCTTGGTCTGTTTGTTAGAATTTGAGGACTTTTCTCTCTGCCAGGAGCTCTGGTGGCATAGTACCTAAGGCATCTGACTGCTAACCAGAAGGCTGGCAGTTCAAACCCACCAGCCGCTCCTCGGAAGGAAGGTTGATCCGACTCGACAGCAATGCATTTGGTTTTTTGGGTTTTTTTTTCCTCTCTGCTGTTTCATTTCTAACTTATTTTGAGCCAGCTCTTGCTACTCTGGGCTATATATAATCATGAAATGTTAGAATAATAGAAAATATTGTAACTGTAACAGTGATTTTCAAAAAAATTTTTTCTTAGATCTCACAATAATAAATACATTTTTATATCACAACCTAGTATATATACAGACACTGGGTAAGAAAGTTCATTAACTAGTATTTAGCCTTATTTCTTGTTTTGCAGCCTCAGATTTTTTATTCTGTTTTATTATTTTTTGTTTCTTTGGATGCCCATCCTGCCTGATGATATTTGAGCCCCTAGGATTGGGCCCTGCAGAGGGCACTGCAAAGTGGCTCCAGGGTCATTTTTGTTCTTTGTAATATACTTCCGGAAAAATTTCAGTTTGAGGGTTTTTTTTTCACAGATTCTTTTTCCCTGTTTTATTGTTTCCTCTATAACCCTTTTTTTTTTTTAAAAATAAAAATTCCCAGGATAGAAAAATTTGCCAATACAGGCAAGCAGACTATAATACAAAGAGCCCTGGTGGCACAGTGGTTAAATGCTCAGCCTCTGCCTGGAAGGTCAGATTCGAACCCAGCAGTTCAATTGGTGGGTGCGGATTATTTTATCTTACACCAGTGGCTCCTGGAGAGAAAGACCTGGTGATCTGCTCCTGGAAAGATTATAGCTTGGGAAACCCTAAGGGCAGTTCTTCTGGACAACAGGCTATCTAAGTAATCTTCTCCCCCCCAAGCAGAGACAATTATTTAACTCGGTGATTCTTAATAGGGACATTTTGACCCCCAAGGGATATTTGGCAATGTCTAGAGACATTTTTGGTTGTCACACCTGGTGGGAGCTACTACTGGCCTCTTGTGGCCCTGGACAATGGTCAGCAAACACCCTAAAATGCACAGGACAGCACCCTACGTCAAAGAATTTTCTGGCCCAAACTGTCAGTGGCAGAGAGGCTGAGAAACCCTGACTTAACATAACACCTTGGAATGTAGAGGAGTTCTGGAGGCGCAGTGCCTAAGGCACCTGACTGCTGAGCAGAAGGATGGCGGGTCAAACCCACCAGCCACTCCTCGGAAGGAAAATTGGGCAATCTTCCGTAGTAATACCACCTGAAAACCCAAGGAGGGGTCGTTATGTGTCGGATCCCACTCGACGGCAGAGTTTGGTTTTGGTTTGTTTGGAGTATATAGGTTCCATGTACATTTCCCACCTTGTCAGTATAACATAAAGTGCAGAGTGTACATAACTGGCTGAAAATGAATCAGAAATGTAGAAGCAGGAGGAAAAACAACCCTAAAAATTGTAAAAGAAGTACAAACTGTACTTAGGAACATAAAACCTATAAAGTTCACCTCTGGGATTCCCCAAAATTACCTTTCCTTGATAGACAGTGACTGGGAAGGTAATCTGCCATTAACTTTAGGGCCTAAACCACAGCAAAGCTGGTGGGATGACACTGTATCATTCCGTTTGCTCCACAACGAAGGAAGCTGTTCACTTCTATTAAGGTAATTGAGTTTTACTGGGGAAACAGGATGGAGTAGGCCCTGCAGGCAGTCAGAATGTTTGACTTTTCTGTTGATTTTCCCATCCACCTTAGGGATTTAATGTTGTTAATGTGCCGTTGAGTCGGACCAGACTCATAGCGACTCCTCCTTGGGTTTCCGAGGCTGTGTCACTACAGAAGTAGATTGCCCCATCTTCCTTCCAAGGAGTAGCTGGTGGGTTTGGACCGCCAGCCTTCTGGTTAGCATTCAAGTGCCTTAGGCACTATGCTACCAGAGCTCCTAGGGATTTAATAGTTGCCTTAAGTGAGGAATAGTTTAAAGAACCATAATTTGGCTGTATAGACTTTTCTTTAAAGAACCCTGGTGGTGTAGTGGTGCTCCGCTGCTAACAGAAAGATCAGAGGTTCAAACCCACCAGCTGCCCCACGAGAGAGAAAGGTGTGGCAGTCTGCTTTTGTAAAGATTGACAGCCTTGGAAACCCTATGGGGCAGTTCTCCTCTGTCCTGTAGGGTCACCGTGAGTCAGGATTGACTCTGTGACAACAGATTTTAAACTTTTTTTCTTTCACACCTTCAAGCCTTAATTTACTGAGTAAAAATATTTAGAGTTGGAGTATTTTAAGATAAATTTATTTAAAAAAAAAAAAGTATGTAGTATCCCACAGAAATACAGAACTGCACCAAGACACCTGCTCAGAATGTTGTTGTTGTTAGGTGCCATCAAGTTGGCTCTGGCTCGTAGGACCCTGTATGTACAACAGAACGAAACACTGCCTGGTACGAGAACTTAACCAGATGTTCGTCAGTGGTAAATAGGTTCAGGAAATTACCAAGCAGCCATACAATGAAACCATTACATAACTGTAAAAGAAGTAAGAACGATCTATATGCTGGCATGGAAAGATACCTAAGTTATATGTGTCGAGAGAAAAGAGCTAGCAGCTAGACAGTCACACGCCACACCGAATAGCCTCTGAAAATGTTGGCCATTCCCTTGGTTTTTTTTTTTTTTTTTTTTTAAATGAAACAGTGCTGCTGTGTGAGTCCAAGAGTAGGCTTTGTGTTGCTCCAGGCAATAAGTCAAGAGTAGAATTTACAAAATAAAGTTCTAGCACGTAGGGCGAAGCACTTGTCTGCTCACGGTCATTTTAGACACTAACTGTCTGGAGCAGCCATTTTCTCTGCCATTCATGGCCCCTTAAATTAAAAAAAAAAAAAAATCACGTGCGTTTCCTAGTGCTCAACAAATGCTCGTTAAATAAACCTCTGACACCATGAGCCGTGTTGTGTCAAAAGTGCCCTGTAAAGTGCTGCAAGTTCTCTTTTTACATTTATTGCTAAAAGTAGATCTTGGTGAAATTGGATACTCTTCTACTCTTTTGGTTTGGGTTCAACACAAGAAACAGGGTTCTGGTACTGAAAGTAAGACTTCGCATCCTTTGACTCAGTAGGGGCAATGAAATGGACCCCTGTACTCTAGGACAGGAAGGAGGAAAGATAACCTCTTCACAGTGCAAGGAATCGGTGAAGTGCCTTTTCGGGAAAACAGGAGAGTGGTAACTTCAGATTACACCTAATTTATACGTGCTTTTCATTAAATGCGGATTATTTTCTCTTTACAACTCTACGTAGGAGAAGGAGAATCATGACCGGGGTTTCTGATCTTAGGTTTGGTGCCGCCAGTTCCTGGACACACTCAGATGATTCTGAAGCCCCTTCTTGCTCGATTTAGCGCCCTGTTACATTACTAAACAGATCTCTCTTATCTCAGCAGGACTTAAGCCCTCAGGTAACCGTGGCTTTATCAGTTTTTATAAGAGCTTCCAAATTGGTTTTATTGGAATTTTAAGCCCAGTAGGGTGAATATCTCAGAATTTTTTAGGTGATGAGGCCTCTCAGTCTTGTCTTAGGAAGGTAGAGCGTTTGGAGAAACGGGTGTGACTGATTCCTCTCTGCTGTGTTGTCATCTGGTATTTCCCACTGTGTCTGGGCCTTTGTGTGGTGTGGAGAAACCCTGAAGATGCCTGCAGAGTCAGGACAAGGAGCTACTGGAGAGAGCCAGGAGCAAGAGGGGAATTGAGCGAATGAAGGAAATTGGGAGAATGGGAATGGAACCCAAAGCCTTGGCCTTGGGCAAGAAGGGTCTTCCTCCATTGTTAAGAGGTGATCAGGCGAAAGCTGGAGGTGCTTTTGTTTTGGGATTTTTCTCCTGAGTTGTATGAGGGAAATTGAGAAAGTTCTTATTTCTTCCACATGGACAACTAGGTCATCTGGGAGAGAGCCCCAGAAGACTGGAGGAAGGAAAGAGGTAGGAGAGTGGAGAGGGTTTAGAGTAGACTTACGGAGCAGGCAGGTGAGCAAAAGGATTGCCCAGGATTGAAGGCCCATGTCAGCTTGAAAATGATAAACTTAGGATCTTCATTTGAGTAAAAGGCTCTGAAGAATCTACGCAAAAGCCCGCTTACAGCTTACATTTGTGTAATACAGCTGTATTAACGGTTCTATTGTTTGGACTCTGGCCTTTAGTCTCACTTTATTTTTCAGCAGTTCAGCTTTTAATTCAACATGTTACAAAAGGGGTTTAGTCAAAAAGACCAAAACCCGTGTCATCATCAGATTCTTCTTTCTTGGCTTCCACTTTCTCCGCCGCAGCTGGGGCAGGCCCACCAGCCCCTACCCTGCAGATAAGGCTCCCGATGTTGATGTTGGCCAGGGCCTTGGCAAACAAGCCAGGCCAGAAAGGTTCAACATTGGCACCCACTGCCTCCATGAGGGCATTGATCTCATCCTCCGTGATGGTCACCTCATCGTCGTGTGCTGTGAGGGCCAAGTAGCTGTAGGCAAGCTCGTAACGGAGGCCATGGTGTAGTAGTGTTGGGCTGGCGGCTGCCGGGTGCAGTGCTAGTCGCCGGATGAAGTGAGGGCCTCACCCCAAGGCGCCCTTAGCTTCCTTGAGAACCAGGCACCTTAGTGGCAGCTGAGGAGAGGGTTCCTTTACTCCCACTTTAATCTAAACCATTGGCATTTTAATGAGGTAAGAAATGCATTGTTTGCAGGCTGGTATTTCAACAGGCCCACAGGGGAAAAGATAGTGGACCGCACTTTGCACAGGGCCTTTGGGTGCTGGACAGGCTTTATTCTCACCCACCGTCACTCTCAATTATTTCTGTGACTCTGAAGCTGTAGCAGTGATCGAGGGCCCAGAGTTACTGGGGGGATAGTGAACCCACTGTGATACCATCCTTGTGTATATTACAGCAGCGCTGAGTTTACGATTAACTATGGGGGTATATCATTTAGCTAAAATTCAGTCTTAAATGTTCAAAAGTCATTAAGGCATGTCTTTCTAGCAGAACTCTCTCAGGCTCTAGCAGTCTAAACTGCGGAAACAGTTAAAACATGTTATAGCAATACAGAATTGCTAGGATACGTTGATTTCTGTGCATTTTAGGGTTCCCCCCTTTGAAGGATGCATTTCCATTGAAGCCACTTTCCTCTGAAAAGCCGTCTGCGCGGGGGCACGGGCGGGAGTTTCCACTGAAGGACAGGAACACGGGTCGTTGCCTGAGAAGAATAATTATTCTCATCAGCCTTTTTCTTTCCTAAAGTAAGGTCTGTCACATAATTGGTGGGGGTGTCTGGAACGGTCACATTTCAGAATTGTTCATAGTGAACTGTTCCTTCACGTGCCTAAGGAGGAAGGCTTCTTCCGAACGAGAAGGAAGGGCTCTGCGTGAACTTTCACATTCATAAGACGCCTCCTTTGGAAGGAACTGCCGCAGACAGTTGGCCCTTGGCCCCCTTGAGAAATGACCTACCTTTTGCTTTTCTCTTTTAATGGCAATAAGCTGTCTGTAGCTGGTTTTACATTATGGGTTGAAATCAAAATTATTAAAAACAACCTAAAGACTCGAAAGAATTGCTATTATTTAGGTAAAAGCTTATTTGACAGACTTAAGCTTCTCTTTTTCTCTGTCCAGAAAAAAAGAACATTATAGCAAAAGTTTCACTGGGTGTGAAAAAGCCCCCAGGCCTGTTGGTGCACGGTTACTCTGTCACTTACACTGGCAGTTGGGATGGTTGGGAATGGGAGAGCCCCACCCTGTGACTTGGCTTGGGGAATGAGCCTTCTTGGGGAACCGGGGCTGTGACGATCCCACACTGCACAGTCAGGACGTCACTGTGTACCAGAGTGTGTGCTGGGGTGCTGACGGGCATCAACACGGAAGGGTCTGAGTGCCGTTGGTAATTACAACCTCAACAAGTTTGTCATTGATATTTTAGCATTACTTCAAAAGTCTAATTAAATCCCAAGGGAAATTCCGAACATTTCATTAAGCTGTTATTTTCACAGGGAATTTTGCCCTGATCATGATCCATCATTGAGACTTACAGTTTTTTTTTTTCCACAGACATTATTGAAATAGGTTCAGAGCTTCACTGGCAAAGGTATTATTCATTAAATACTGTAAATCACTAATGCCACTGATCTAGAAATTGTATCTTTTTGAAAGTGAGAGTAGAGAGTGAAGTATTTGAGGGTTTAATTATTCATTCTTTCACTACTGCTTCGTTTCCACTATAATTCTATCCTGAGTGGAGGAAAAAAAGGCAAGTATCTCTTTTAAATGTTTAGGAATTAACAGAGGGTTAAAATGTAACTAGCTTTTCTCCTCAGGTACTTTTGTATGTAGTGGTTGATACAGTTAAGGCTCTGTTACATATTTTATGGCAACAGTTTATATGACTCCATAGCCAAACATTTCAAAGTTCCAAGTTGAATAAATATTAAAATGAGAATACTTTTTAATAAAAACAGTCAACACTCACTGATGCCTTAAATAAGTGTTTTTTAACCTTACGGATTCACGAACCTTTTGGTGGAGGTAAGGGGAAGTTATAATCCCTTTCAGAGTCTGAACGGCCATGGATCCTCTCCCCAGGCAAAAAAATACATAATTTTGCCTTTAATTTCTGGGGTCCATAGAGTCCCTAGAAATCCATCTATGAACATTCTAGAGATCAGTTAAAACCTCGTTTCAGGGTACAAAAACATCTTTTTAGATTAAATTTTAAGTATAGACATTTAACAAGTCTGTTTGGCAAGTTCTTCAATACCATTTTTTTTTTTAATTTTCATTGTGATTTTGGTGTAAGTTTATAGAGCAAATTCATTTTCTGTACAGTAGTTCATGCACATTTTGTTTCATGGCATTAACTGCAATCCTCACATTTAATATCTCTCTTGAGTGATTTTTTAAATTATTTAATATCCTTAGTCTCAAAGTCGTATTCTGTGGGCTTTTTGTTTGTAGCTGGGTGAACACTTAAAATCCTCCATTGCTGCTTAAAATACCAGAAAGGTGACTACTTTCCCACTTTTTCTTGGGAAAGATTTTCTTCTGTGATCTGTAAAAGAGTTTATGGTCATCTTAGGCTGTAATGACTTTCATTAAGAAATTAAATTCCTTTACGTCGCATAGTAAACTGCTGAGCCTAATGCTGGCAGAATATTTGTTCACTCAGTCTTGCCCAGATAACTCACGCTGACAGTCTTTTCAAAGTATTATTAGGAAATATAGCCCCTGAGGATTTTGTGGAGTTAGGTCATCGTTTTGAATAATGATTATCATTACATACAGTAATGGAGAAGTTATAAAAGATGCATATGAACTGGGCATTGTTTAGAAATTAAGCATTCAGCCAGAAGACAAAGAACAAGAACTTTACGTTTTAATTACGTTTTCTTCACTGTGCACTAAACGTTCTAGAAATCTTATTATGTCTGTTTCCATTTGTATACTGTATGTAAGAATGTATGCATTTCTTTTGTAGCCACGTCATGAATATTTTAATGTCCCTGTGTACTAAATGACTACTCATCGAGTATGCAGAATTTCACAGAGGAAATAGAGAGCTGATATACTTATGAAAGAAAATATCATCAGCTTGGTGACGCTGGTTCTCTGGTTGCAATAATTATAGAATATTTTAGAATCAATCCCTTTACAATTGTATTTTTTCCCTGTTCCTATCCCTAGCTCTTTTCTGTTCTATTTTCATTCTACATGTGATCTTGGTTTAGCTTATACCTGCTCCACCTGGTTTAATTTCTTTGATAAAATAAGACCTATAAATGTTTTGAATAATATTTCATCTTAAATACATACCAAACCAAAATCAAACCAAACTCCCTGCCGTCGAGTCGGATCCGACTCATAGCAAAACCCCTCCTTGGGTTTCCGAGGCGGTATCACCATATAGAAGCAGATTGCCCAGTCTTCCTTCCGTGGAGTGACTGGTGGGTTTGAACCACCAGCCTTCTGGTTGGCAGTCAAATGCCTTAGGTGCTACGCTACCAGACTTCCCTAAATATATACAGTGTTATCATTAATGAACTATTAATTAATCTCATAAGAGGAAAACTTTGAAATCTTTAAAATGTTTACCAAAGAAAATAGAGCTGGAAAGCTAGGTCAAAATAAGTAGTGCCTTAGTAAGTGGTGTGGTTTGGTGCTCAGAGGGTGACACGTTTTAAAAAAGTAAAAACTGTGTTTATTGTCATGTCACATCCTGTATGAACGCATGTGTCCTGATACATCATAGAAAAGTGTGTGTGCAAATAATGCATGTGGGTAAAATTAATCTGTACCAGTACATAATTAAAACAGTCCATGTTTTAGGAATTTTGTAATGCCACATTGATGGATCACATATATGCTGTATCATAATATCAAACAGGCCCTTTAAGAACCATCAGAAAGTTATGTCAGAAGAGTATCTTCCACAGTATCTGTAGCTCAATAGTAAGAAACCCTTCAAAGTATTATCAATACTGATTTTTTTCGTGTAGTTCATATTTGGATCAGTTTAAATACCTAAATACTTACAATTTGCTAGTTACAGCTTTATAATATACTCAAATCTTCATTTCAATACTCAGTGCTTTGTTAACTGTGGGTTTATGCTTTGGAATGTGAAAACCTTTAATATTGATCATTACTGTGTATAGTTTTCATAAAACATGCAACAGATTTTATTATCAAAAGAGATTCATTGTTTATATCCAGAAAGTCAGAGTTGAGATACTCAAACTAGCTCACCACCAAAAGAGGCCTGGAACAATGGGTTTTGCCCCACCTTGTGCTGGGCGAGCAGGGTGTTTTTTCCCATGCCCATGTGCTTGCCATCATGTACTACATGTGCAGCGTTGGGAATCGTTGGTCTGTCTGTCCCATTTTGTTCCTCCATCCCCCTGCCGGCGGGATCCTGTTCATATGGTTTCCCTGCTGCATACATGTTCGTGTTCTCACGCCTGTTCGCTTCGGGGCTGCGTGCTGAGCTGTAACCTGTTGCTTCTTTTGTTACCTGTATTCCACTGCTTGCTTTAAATTCGTAGATTCTGAAAACTTTCCTGGCATGTTTAAAATAAAGGTATTGCATGTATTTTTGTCTCATGTGAATGACTTTTTCTTTTCCATCCCTTTTGATAAAATGATGTATTTTATATTTTAGTGTTTCCAGGTAATTTTAAGCAGTAATTTTAGTGTGATCATGTGAAAATTACATTTTACATTAATTATAAACAAATTCGTAAGGGAAAAAAAACCTCTAATGCACTATTTATTCAAGTCTCAAAGGAGTAATATGTGGAAATGATTCTTTGAAACTAGTCCCTTTATTTTACATAATGCATATTTCATAAGTAACATGATTCTCTTCGACAAACACTATATAAAATTGCAGGCAGTGAGCGAACCCCTAGCTCCAGGAAATAGCTGAGGGTGAACACATTTAGGTGAATAAGCTAAGACGGTTAACCAGGGGCAGGTTAGCCAATAAGCAAGGTAAGCAGGGCCGATTTGTGCCCAGCAGTAATGTTTCCCATGGGTTTCACCCCA